GAAATCATAGTATAGTCTCCTAGAATCATAATCAGTCTCGTATTGGGTTAAAAATCAAAATTGGATTATTCTTAAAAGACACATATTTAAACGTTTGAGAAGTTATAGATGAAATATGGAAAAGACATAGTTAACACTGTACCAGATATAAACTTAATTATTAGAGATATTTGTGAAAAAGTATTGAATTATTGCCCTAGTTCAAAAGAAAAAAGAACTTTTCTCCTTGGTGGAATAGTAACTTGAGTATTTAAAAAAAAAAAAAAAAAAAAAAAAGAGAGAGAGAGAGAGAGAGAGAGAGAGAAGCACTTTGAAGAAAATATTAGAATACCTTTGATCCTCAAAGATATCTGGCTATTTACAGAAGTAATATTAGATACGCAAAAGTAAAATATGGGAATTATAACTATGAAAGGTACATCTGGCATGAACTTTAAAATTGCCACCGATAAGCAATTAAATCTAATACAGTCAAAAGTCGTTAATCCGGACTCATCGGGACTTCGGCGATTCCAGATTATCGATTTTTCCGGATTATAGATCATCAGTTTAAATCTCATAAGATGGCATGCAGAAATTATAAAATTAAAAATATGAAACCGTAATTTATGAAATAAAGAACAATTATGATCTAAAGGGTATCAAAATTTACAAAAAAAAAAAAAAAAAAAAAAAAAAAAAAGCTTAATATTTATTTGCTTACTTTATTAAACATTTCTTTCAACGCACGAATGCTCAAAGCATATATTACGCATAGTCGAAATTAGAAAATTGCAACCAGAAAACTATTTGATGTGTACTCGTGATATTTATAATGACGAGGAATTTGATTTAAATCAAAGACGGAATACATCGAGATGAAATACTACATTTAGTAAGGAATTATAAGCTGAATAAAATAAAAACATGTGCCCTGAAGATGAGGATGAGGATCTGCGACATGCTGACAGATCAACTTCCAGTTCATTGTGCACTGCGACGTTTCTTCCCCGCAGAGCAGCATGAAATTCAAAAACAGATTTCGGAATGGTTAGAGAAAGAAAGGATATGCCTTTATCCATTTTTTGCAGCAATTCTACTTTTTGTTTGATGGACATTGAAACATACTTTCGCTTTGTAGATCCTTTGGGAGCTCCATCGGAAATTCTATTTGACATAATCGAAAGTTCAAGCTTACTTTTATAAAATTGCTCTTACGGTCTGCAAAAAATAATAAGTCGGATCCAATTCGAAGATTAAGGAACAACGCAATCATCAACATTAACTGAAATAGATAATTAGATAATTTTAGCTTATACCGTCCATTACACATTAAACGTGCATGCGTAAACGTATTCTGCGCTTGCGCACACGCATATGCGCAGTTGTAAAGGTCTTACGCGCAAGCGTAAACGCCTATGCGCATGCGCCAACGCGACGCATGCGCAGAAAGTTTTTAGCTTTGAGGTCCGGATTATAGATCATTCCGGATTATGGGTGTCCGAATGAAAGACTTTTGACTGTAGCAATAATAAAATGGAATGGCCTAATAATGAGCAGCAGTATAAAGGAAGCTCTTGGAACAATTTCTTGAAGTTATGGAAGATTAAGAATATTATGATGGATCTCAGTCTGAGAATACAAACTGAGAAATCACTGCCTAGAAATCTGCATAATATCGTAGCAAGTTATTTGAATAACCCACATATGGTATATAAAAATAATGCTATTCATATTTCAGACAAATTATCGTAAGCAAGCTCCACAAGGTTCTGCATTGGGACCAACTTTTTGGAATAATGTTGCCAATTTTGTACTACAACTCTTTTTTGATGAAGGAGTTGTTTTACAAGTTTATGCAGATGATTTTGTGCTAGTCGTTACAGGAAGCAATAGACTAAGTTATAAAAAAAAGCCAAACTAGCATTAAAAAAATATATCAGTGGGTGCAAGTTAAATAAATTGGAAATTAGTCATGAGAATATCTCAATGCTGACATTTGAAAAAGGCTCCTTCTCTAAGTTGGCGACAAATGTTAAGATGAAACAGAGTGAGGATCAAGAGTGGTAAAACGCTCAAATATTTGGGAATAACTTTAAATGTGACACTAAACTGGCTGCCTCTTGAGTCAAAAACTCAAAGAGAAAATATTCAAAGTGGTAAATAAATTAAATAAGTTTATAAACAAAAATTTGCATAAAAATACACTAAAAGTGTAACACAAAAAATCTGATGTATACAACATGACTTCCTTGCACGAAATATTAAATTATACGCATTTGTTTCTTGCATTTCATTTAAACTTTATTGGATTGATTAAATCTACTTTGTCGATAGCACATAAACCCACAACAAATAAATGCACATTTTAAAATTCTCTATATTTTTTACCATAGCGACACTCTGCACTAGGTTCACTTAACAGCGTTACTTTTCATCCATATTATAACTCAGAATGAATATAAATTTATATCATTTGAAGAATTATCTAATTGTTGCCACATGTTCTATTCAAATACTATAATAAATCTAAAACGATGTATAAAAGAAATTAAGCAACCAAAACAAAAAAGAAACAGTTTTTCACAAACGATTCAGTATTTCTCATTCAATTAATTCAGTTTTCCCTTCGCGACAAGGCAAAAATACATAAAAACTCAAACTCAAAATATCTATATTAAAATTACGAAGTAAATCTTAAACGCTTATTTCCTCGACAAAATTCCAGAAAGGATTAAGCATGATTTAATTCGCAATAATAAATGAAGGCGTTATCTTTGTTGTGTGCGAAGCTTACGTTTCTCGAGATTGGCAACAAATCCACTATTCTGCTAAATTGTCAAATGTAAACAAAGCAATGGCCGCCATGGTAATCAAAATATTAGGCTTAGTCGCACTTAAACAACTTTAAATATTGTTGATAATTGCTAAAATTATTGCATTACAGGATTTACGAAAGGCATAAAAAAACCTTAACCGGAAGATAAAAACAACATAAGTTCAATCATTTTTAAAGCAAAAAATGTACAATTTACAAACATATAAGATATGAAGAAACTGAGATCACTGAGTCGGGTAACAGAGTGGATATATATATAAATATATTTATACACATTTGCCGTACCGATTACAACCAAAATACGAGGTGCACATCTACACCATGCCATTTCGAGGTGCCATGAAAACTTCTATACATATTTTATACATATATTTTATATGCACGAGCCACACAAATTGTCTGCGAGAGCCGTATCAGGGTCACGAGCTGCACTTTGGCCACCACTGGTATATGTAATATGAATTGCCCTAGTAGAAACTTTCTGCATAAACTGTAACAACCATCTATGGTTTTGAAGAGATTTTACCATTATGGAGGGACTTTCACTTGGCAAGAGTTAACACAGTCCTTTGTAGCCTATGAACAACCTGTTTGCACATATAATTTCCGTTGTCTACTGCATAATACGAGTGAGTATGTGGTAAGAAATGTACTATAAATGAAATATAGGTTTGGTATTCTTGTCATTCATTAGATATTATTTTTATTTTGCTTTGATTACTATGCATTATTTTGTGTTAGGTATTCTTCATTATGAATAAAGATAAAGTAGATCCTGCTAGAAAAGCCAAAACATCTCCTCGATGGATGATTTTGAGCTGTTGGTTTTAGTTTATTTTGTCATTCTTCAGTTGCCAATACCAGTATGGCAATACAACTTATTTTATTAGGTTGAGGTTACCCTTCTGGTTTTTGTGAAGGAATTTACTGTGAATACAGATGTTCGTCTTGGTATTTTAGATCAGTGATTTCCAAAGAGTGGATCACAAGAAATTTTTAGAAAGCCAGAAAGAATTTAAGTACTTTTTTAATTGCATAATTATATTTTAAAATAATTATGAATTAATCTATAATGATTAGTCAATTGTTAATGAATAAATAAGTTTATTTATTATTTATTAAACTGTTTTTTCATCTGGAAATCTCAGATTTTCCCCTTCCCACTTCCCAGACCAAAAACTTTATGTAGGACGGTGACAATGATGAGATACATGTGGGTTGTTAGCCTAAAAGGCTATCAAATGCTATTTTTAAACAATAACAGCTTCATATATATTCAATTCTTCTTTTTTCAATACAATCATGCTCTCTCTAAAATGTATGCTGTACAGAGCTTACTTACTAGCATGGAAAATGAACTGAATTGTCTTGTCAAAATCTTGAATTAAATATATGGACTATCTATGGGGATGGACTGGGATGTCTACAAGCCAGGTTGCTATAGTCCAGGTCATTATGACAAGACAATGCAAGGCCATCATGTCAGAGACAAGATCGAGTACTGCTCTTTTGCAAGTATGTCATTCAATTCCCACTACAATATTAAAAAAATCTGTGAATGGTGTCTTCCTGGTGAAGGGGAATTGTCTCAGCAGCAAAAACTAGGTTTATACCATCACAATTTTTCATTAATTTAACAGAAGGATTAAAATGTCGCAGTGCCATATATTTTTGAATATATGCTCATTCGAGTACTCAAATAATGTTTGTTTCTTTGTTTGAAAATTTTCCAACTTATAATATTTACTGATAATTCTACAATAGAAATTTTTAACCACCAAAAACAGTAATAACATGCTACTTAGAACCTTAAGAAATTTCCCCCCCCCTTCACACCATTATAATGCTACAAGAAAATTAGGAAGTTATGCTAAGAATAAAAGTACACAAAATCTTTTGAAAGTACATTTTACAAATAGCTAAAATCAAACTTACTCTCTAGTGCATTCCTCTTCCCTCTTTTTTTGTGCTTCATATCGAGGACGAATATCTTCCAGCTGTGACAATTCACAGCAATGGTTTCTTTTAATCTCTCTAATTCCCGTTCAGCTCTTTTCCGTGAACTATCATCACCTTCCACTTCATCACGCAGATCTTTAATAGTTAATTCTAAACGAGTTTTTTTCTCTTTAAATAATGATGACTGCTCTTGAGATAGAGCTTCTTTTTCTTCTCTATAGGACTGAAGTTTACTTTTTATATCTCTGAAATCTTTACTGAGTTTCTGGAAAAATATAATTTTCACTTTAATTTACAAATTAAAAATTAATTTTTACATAAATATAACTGCAATACTTTCTACAAGTATTCTTCAAATACAAGTGCAATACTTTCTTCTTACACTTACTTGAATTTGGAATTAAAGCAATTTAGATAAAACTTGTAATTTACACATATAAATTTTACTTTTATGCCCACAAAAAAAAAAAAAAAAAAAAAAAAAAAAAAAACATTAATATGCTGATTTCAAAAAGTGAAAAATTATTCTTCAACAAAACTCTCCTCTCCTTACTCCCCCCCCAGAAAAAAACCAGGGATGCAAGTGGACGCTCAATATCAACCAAAACGGGGAACGAAAGTTGTTGTAACTATATTCAAATCATTGATATACAAACAGACTTGTATTTTTATGCATTACTAAATTAAAAAAAAAAAAAAAAAAAAAAAAAACAATAAATATTAACTAAAGGTATGAGAAGGTTTTCGCTGAAATAAGCATTTTAAATGAACACAGTATTAAATATATGTATATATGTTACGGTGAAACACCAAAATCTGGAGAATGTTGACTTTCACCTGCGAATGTCAACATTCACATAGTCTCTTGGTGTATGTCCGAAATATTTTCCAAATATTCTTATTTCTGACTTACACCGGCCAATGTCAACATTTACCATGTACTTATAGTGAATGTTGAACATATAACAATATTACACGAGGCGTATTCGGAAAATAAGTACCGTTTTGGAAAAAAAAAAGAAAAAAAAAAAAGAAAAAAGAAAAAGAAAAAAAAGGTAAAACAATTTTTTCGAATCAAATTTTATTTTTACATGAAAATACATGTCTTAAACTATTTTTCACATAGTTTCCGCCAATGATCGAACACTTGCCATAGCGGGTGACCAGTTTTTGTATACCATTGTCAAAGAAACTTCCTGCCAGTTTCGATAACCACGACTCCACAGCATTTTTCGTGTCATCGTCAGATCCAAAGCGCTTGCCACCAAGCTCGCGCTTCATGTGCAGGAACAAGTAAGTGATAGTCGGACGACGCCAAGTCCGGGCTGTACGGCGGGTGATCGAGCTGCTCCCAATGAAACTGTCGAATTAACAATTGAGTGACACCAGCAGTATGGGGCCGAGCATTGTCATGGAGCAACACAATTCCTTTACTGAGCATTCCTCTTCGTTTGTTTTGAATGGCATACCTTAGTTTTGTTAAAGTCTCACAATATCGTGCCACATTAATGGTTTCACCTCTGGGAAGAAATTCATTAAGCAAAACACCTTTCCTATCCCAGAAGACAGTGCACATGATTTTGTGTGATGACATTGTCACTTTGAACTTTTGTTTTTTCGGAGAATGAGTGTGTCTCCACTCCATCGATTATTGTTTCGATTCTGGTGTGAAATGACACACCCAAGTTTCATCACCTGTCACAATTTGGTTTAAAAAAGTTTCTTCCTCACCACTGTACTGCGTGAGAAATGTCAGGGCACTACCAAGTCGCTTTGTTTTATGAACATCAGTGAGCATTTTTGGAACCCATCGGGAACACAGTTTGCGATAATTCAAGCGGTCAGACACAATTTCGAACAAAACAGTACGTGAAATTTGTGGAAATGCCTCTGAAAGAGTTGTCATTTGTGAAGCGTCTGTTTCTCATGAATTGCTTCATCAACTTTCCTTACCAAATCATCGGTGACAACAGAAGGCCGACCACTCCGAGCCTCGGCGTGGACATTTGTTCGACCTGTATTAAACATTCTTACCCACTTTCTCACCATTCCATCACTTATCGCGTATTCACCGTAAACTTCTGTCACTTGACGATAAATTTCAGCCGGTTTAATCATTCCTCGCGTTCAAAAATCTAATCACGGCACGAATCTCACGGTCAGCGGGAGAACTAATTGCCTTAAACATTTTGAATGTGCACAGCAAACTGAAAACACAACATAGAGCAACCAAAATGGCGACAATTTAAAGTCAGTGAACAAGAAAGACTAGTGCGCATGCCCAGGATGCCTACCACAGCGCTGCGACGGTGCTAGAATAAAACGGTACTTAGTTTTCGAATACGCTAGGTATTTTCTTCTCCGTAATTCAGTAGCAAATAAACGCACTTGAGACTTGAAATAAGAACTTAAGAACATGAGAACCTAAAACACACAATACATTCAAAATGAGAAAGGAAAATAATAGTTAAAAACTTACTTAATTATACAGTACATTCTAAATTAGAAAATAAAATAACAATAATAAAAAACTTACTAAATTATGTGATTCAAATCTTATTTATTGCAACAACTTAAACTATTATGGCACTTTATGACCTCTGTTTTCGACTTTCACCAGAGCATATCTGTGATTGTCGACATACACCGGTGAGGGTCCGAATATACAAGAATGTAGTGAAATATTCGGTCTTTCACCGATGTATTTGGTGAATGTTGATATTCTTTGGTGAAAGTCGACATTCTCCAATTTCGGTCCTTCATGGTAACATATATATAAGTTTCAGTTATCATTAGCTGCTGTTCTTGACATTCAATTATGTCACTAACATTTTTTCTTTCGTCACTATAGACTATTCTGACACAGATATAATTTTCAGATACTTAAATATGCATACAAGCACCACTTACTACTGACGATAAGATGTACCTATTAAATCTTTGCATTTGCCAAAATTTGTAAATCTTATCACTGCTTTAAATTCTTACAATTTCTATTGTCCATCTTCATTCAAAATAAAACAAGACTTGAAATGAGCTTAAAAATGACATAAGTATTTACTACAAATCACAAAAAGGAAATTATGAATATAACCAACCACAGTTTTAAATTATTTTTAGAAAAATGGAAGACAAATTTTTTGTTGAAAATATTTATGATTTAACACTTTTTTTAATCAAACCAACTTTTTAAAATCAGTATCATAATAGCCCTACTTTGCTGTCTGCTATACAATGGATTCAATGGTGCACAATGTGCTATACAATGGATATACTCCTTGGGCACTTTTTTTAAAATAGATAAACAAGTTCAAAATTAAAGTAGCTCAAGGGAAAACATATTATAAAATGATGAAATATTTATAGCCAAATGAGCCTTCTCCACCATTGCTTTCTTGCAGCTATGCCAAGCATGCTCACAAACAAATCCTGATGATCAGTTTTTGTTGCTTACACAGTACTTTGATGGATGCTGATTTTTAACATTTTGTCATTTCTTTAACTTGCACATGATACTATTCAGTTCTGCACAGTATTTTGCTATCTTATCATCTCCTGAGAATTAAACTAAATCATTAGAATCCCTTTTCTTAAAATAATAATAATAATAATAATAATAATAATAATAATAATAATATGTACTTCGCTATTAGGCACTAAAAAGTATAACCACTATTACGTACACGGAAAAGAAGAAATGCTCCGTCCAGGACTTTTAAAGGGAAACTGGCTAGTATCTGCGTTGCACATGGGGAAAACCATGAAAATGCCTATGCAGCCAGTCTGTTCACCGAGACCTGAACAAACTACCAGTGTCTGACAGCTTTGAGAGAAAATGAATATTTTAAAGATATTAAAAATGTCCGGCATACTTGATTATCAATTTAACATTAGTAATGTATTACTGTAAGCAAATTGTCAACTAAAAATTAACATATTCCTGCCTGCTACATGACTATATACTGCTGAAAACAATGTATTTACAAAATTTTGAATTTCTTTTTTAAACATATTTCAGTAAACCTGCTCAATAATATTTGACAGGCTTAAAAAAGAAAACACTCACTACTGGATTCAGTTAATGCAATACGCCAGAGCAAGTCGGTAGACATTATTAGTAATTAACATTAATAAAGTTCTTTATTTTTTCTCAATACAGTCTGTTTGTTTAGTTTACCATAGAAAACATACATACATATGTCCCTTAAGCCAGAGTAGATAATGAAAATGTTGGCATCACACAAAAGTAAAACAGCGTTAAAAGCAAAAATAACTACATTAGAAAAGATAGTTAGGAAATACCATGATATGTAATCACAGTAGTACTGAGAAAAATGAAATTCAAATAAAGTACAGTTCATTTCAAAATATTAAAATGGACATAAGAAGCTTGAGAAACAGACATTTTGCTGATGAAAAAGAAGATGTCACAGATATCAATGAAGAAATTGCCAAAATGGAAGAAAGAACGAAGTTTTGGAGGTAAGAATTGCAGAAATTCTATCATCTATTTTACATTCTGAATAAGAAATAACTGCAGTACATTTAAATCTGAAATACAAATACATTTGGCAGAATTACCAGTTCCTAGATTTTTTGGTAACTGTACTAAATGAAATAACTTACAATTTGAAAATATTATTATGAATAATACTGAGTTGACAGAAGTTCTGTTAATAAAAGGCTGCATGAATTGATGAAGCAACGAATCTTGAAACTGCTGATGATACTTTCAGTTTTCTTTTAAAGCTCTTCAAGATAGATATGAAAATAACAAAATCTTAACTGAGATGCATATAACGTCAATACTGGCTTTACATAATTTAACTTTGAATTGTTGAAGATATGTAACAAATAATTTTACGAAAACTTAAGATTTGATGTTAGTATCAGAAAAATCATTTATCAGAAATTCTGTTATTAAATACTGTACTTCAGAAGCTAGATTACAAAACACACAAACAATCTGAACTAGCATTAATGCTACAGAAGTTTTCAGTTAAAAATTAATTTCGTTTTTAGAGAAAAGATGTTAATTTTTTACACCATAATACTAGTACAGTGAAAAATAGCCATTAGAAAAAGTTCAAAATCAAAGGCTCTGATCGTTAAAATTGATAGCGCTTCCACTTGTGTGATATGTAAAAAAAATAATCATCCGATAATAAATGTTATTCATTTTAAAAATTAAATCCAAACCAAAGATATGAAATAGTTAAAAACAATAACTTGTGTTTAAATTGCCTTAGTAAGGAACACTTTATC